TCCAAATCTGAAACAATTCTTTTTCTGTGGATCCGGCTATTAATAATTCTGTCATCGGAGGGATGGTGACATCTGTTTTTGTTGTTACTTGGTGAGCTGACGGAATGCCGCTCTTCATTTCAAACAGTTATATCTTCTTTCGCAGAGCGCATTTCGTTACGTTTAAAGTCCAGCGTAAAGTCATACTTCCACAAAAAGTCCAATCCGAGTATTAATTCGCCCGCGATGTTAGCGAAAGCTAAGTGCTGGTAGGTCTCATTTCCGAAGGTAATAATGATGTTAATTTTACCTTTAATGGGAATCTTATCACCTGTCACTGTTTGTAAAGTCACACAGGGCGGAGTCTAGCGCAACGTTTCGCTCAATTCTCGAGCAACAGCTGTTCTTACGATGGTTACATTTGCTCCCGTATCTATGATCATTTTACAAGGATGCTTATTCACGTGTCCTTCGACGAACAAGCCGTCTCCGCCTCTCATTGAAGAGATTCGAAGAACTTTCAGAGCGGCTGCATTTTTGCCTGGCAACCTCCGCCCCGTGAGATTGCCGCATTTTAGTTTCCCTGGTTTTGTTTCGCGGGAGCTGTCTTCCAATCTTGATTCACGTGACAGTTCCTGCTGAGATATCCTTCCAATCCGCAGATCCAGCACTTGACGATTTTCTTCCCAATATTTTTTTATTAGGTCTTCTTAACGCCTCCCGAATCTCTTTTATTTCCTTTTTTAGTTGCGAGATATCGAATTTGGATCTTCTATTTGAGCCGCTCTAATAGGATGGCAATCTCATAGAGTCGCTTGTTGACCCGACTCGAACTTCATAGCGTAGACCAAGGCAGATTTCTGGTCTTTCAGATCCGCCAATCTGAGAGCTTTCTGAATTTCACCATCCTTAACGGCATCGGCGAAATACATCAATGCCAGATTTTCTCGGACATCATTTGGACAGTCCGGATATGCTTAATGCGCCAACCTCTCGATGTCAGATGCAAGTTCTTGAAGGCTTTCCGTGATTTTCTGCTGGCGGGATTTCAACTACAGACGGCTACAGTCCTCTGCGCACTTTTCCCCGAATCTCATTTCTAGCGCATTTGCGTATTGAAGTTTGAAATCTGATCTTCGGAGAGAACACCTAAGATGTCTGCAGCATCTCCTCGGAGTGACGCAGCCAACTGCGAAGCCTTCATGTGGGAGTCCCACTTCTTATTTTCCGCCACGATGGAAAACCCGAGTCTTATATACACTCATTGATGATTTTCCATCGTATGTGCTTGGTTTGATTACCATATGAGAGTACACTGGGAAAACCTTGAAATCTTCAGCTTCGTTCTTGGGCTCAGTCCGGTTTTCTTTCGAAACATCTACTTCTTTCCGGAATTTTCTCAATTTATCTTCAAAGCGTTCTTCCACAGCTGCTATCTTTGCTCCGGTATCCTCTCTAAGCTCCACAATCTCGCTTTTAATCTTTTCTTGTTCGACTTCCATCTGTTCGAATTTCTCTTCCATCTTTCCTTGAATGGCTTTTATTTCGCTCTTGATCTCAGCCTTTATCTCCTCCTGTCCGACTTTCATCTCTTCCTGTCCGGATTTCATCTCTTTCATTTCAGCTTTCATCTCTTCCTGTCCAGCTTCCATCTTTTTCTGTCCGGCTTCCATCTTTTTCTGTCCGGCTTCTATCTTTTCTTGGAATGCAGCAAAGGCAGTCATGAGCTGTCTTAATTGTTCTTCCATCGTTCTTGTCACTGGCATTCACCCTCAAACCCCACTCCTAGCACCAGTTGTTACGTTTTATTCTTTTTTTTGACACCAGTTATTACGTTATTTTCTTCCTTCACGTTCGTACGGAGTTTGTAAATTTGGAGTGAATAACGACGACAGTTGATGAAGTATCGAAACACACTTTATTTACCAATATTAATCAGATAGCTCCAAAATCACTTTTACAGTTGTCGATTGTCATAAACAAGCTGACACGATCAGCGATACCGCCTTCACACTGTCTGGCAATAATGGTCGAGACAGCTTCACTGCAAAGCACCCGAGTACAGCTCCCAACTCTGCTTGGTTGTTCTCGGAACTCCACGTACTCTCGAGACTCTCCACGCGGTGCACTCGACGATACACAAGAGTATAGCTCTCGACTCAGCACAGTCTAAGACAAAACTCGACGATGCACTAATTCGCGATGCGCTAAAAGACTCTTTCGATGCACTCGACGACCACCTCGGCGCTAGACTTCGAGACACTCGCTCAATGACTGACTATCAGCTCGCTAAGACGAGGCACACACACTAACTGACTGCCGACTAGCAGGGTTTATATAGCTTTCGGCTTGTGTTCGAGAACATTCTGGGCTAAACCGGTAAGAATTCGTTCCAGAAGATCCGTCCATGATATATCGCCAATTTTGTTTCCGTCCATGATATATCGCCAATTTTGTTTGTTTATGGCAACCCTAAAACTGCTTCGCGGCTAAGCCATCTTACCGCGCCTGTACATTTCGTAACAATATTATGAGACAAGTCAGAATTTCTCAAATTTGGTATTTAAAACTCATACGCGATTGAGACATATTACATTTATATATGAATCAAATTTTATTCTTGGAATTATTCTCAGTGCTATGAGAACAAGCTTACTATCAGCTTACAATGCAAGGATAAAAGAATGTTGCGGCCAACTTTTATCCATACGTATTAATTTTCAAGAAATAATAAAGCAAATATTCGTAACATAGGGAATGTAAAAAAAATGTTTGGTAACACTTAAAACTTTATTGGCAATCCTAAAGGCATGCTGCTTTTTAAGATTTCCTGATTTTTTTATTGAATATTTTGTACTGTGAGTAAGAAGAAAGTGATGTTTAATAAATGAAGCTAAAATGATAAACAAAAATGTTCGTCATCTTATTAAGATAACTCAACATAGATATCATTAACTGAGGAAAGACCGAAAAATTACATGGTGAAACTTAACATTCTATCCGGTATTCTAAAAAGATGCTGCTTTTAAAAGCGTTGTGATTGTTAAATGTGTTTTGAATCTGAAACACTGTATGACCTGAGGATATATTATGATCCATGTGGTATTTCTAAATCAAAGCATGAGAACTATTGTGTTCACGACACGAATAATTATCATTGCCAATTGTATGGGAGAACTGAGTAATAAAAATTGAATAATGATCATAATTAACACTGAGACGTAAAGTTTATAAACAAATTAGATTTTATTTACAAACGATTAACCCGGAAGTAATAAGTTTGCTTAATTCGTTGCTATTTCTCCAGTTCCCACGTTTTAACATGAAATCGGTGGGATGTTATGTGCAGGCCACATCCATTTTTCTTTAATTATGCCTGCCAGTGAACAAGAAGAAATTAATTAATAATAATACTGCAATAAATGTGATGCGCACCTGAAGTGAATGTATGTTTTAAAAGAAATTGGGAAATGAATCAATGATATTTGTAGCAGAGTAACAAAGGACACATCTTAAAATTAGACCCGTAGTACAGCAAAAGGTAAAACAACTGTAGCAGCAAAGACGCAAAATAAATTAAAATGGATTTAACTTTCATATGAAAAAAATAATAATAACCAAAAGGAACAGTTCGAAATTTAAAAGACTATCATTGAAAAAGAAATAGTAATCTTTTCAAACGTTAACTTAAACTAGTAAATTTATGAGAATAAAATATAAGAAAATCACTCTTTAAAGAATTAAATAGTTCCACATTTATATATCGTACTCTATGTTTCTTTCTCTACACCAGGGGTTCTCAACCAGTGGTACGCGTACCACTGGTAGTACGCAAAGAAGCAACGTATTTTTAACTATTAAATTCAGAAATTAAAACCCCAACATCCTGAATGAGGTTTTTCTTTAACATTCGTAAATTTATGCTATCTGAGCTTTGTTCAAAAGTTGTGGTGGTAGTAGTAGTTTGTAGTGGTGGTACTAAAGGTTTTCAGTTTTTGTCTAGGTGGGTACGCGTTAGTCAAAATATTGAGAACCGCTGCCCTAGACGATTTACAATCCCAGGTGCCCAGAAACAATGTGGAGTACACTCCCTTTTCGATGCGACGGTTTTTGGAGTATCAAAAAATCACTTTCAAGGCTTCTTCTTTTATTATTTTGTTAGAAATATTTAAGAAAATGCATTTGATTATCTGTGATATGAGTATACATAGGCTGAAAGAATTTTTTTCATTCTTTATTTTTCAAAATTCCAATAAAAGGTGTGTTTGGCTCATATATAATGCAACAAGCATTTATAGATTTTCTATTACAAGTGTTACTCTGAAAAGCCTAACCAGAGCAATCACATGCTATCTGCGTCAATAAATGGCGTGATATGAAATAATAAAAAGCTGTTTCTGCCCTTATTGAAGCTCACTTCACAGGATGTATAAACGATCCAATAGTACAATCGAGAGAATTTGCATCTTATTTAGTATCTCCATCAAAGTATATGTCAAACATTGTATCAGTGCAAAGATTGACTGCAGTCCGCAGTCGGACAGATATTTTGGGGGCGATCGCCTTTACTAAGCCACTATCGTTTCAATTCAGTAAAAAACAGCTCATTCAAAATTCTAGATAAGCAAATAAACAAAGGTTGCTTACCTTTATGATCCGCTTTCTTCGATTCTGGTCCGCCGCTTTAGTAGACTCCGATTTGGTTCCAAACTCATCTAAAATTGGCACTATTTTGTATGAATCACTTTATTTGACGTTTGACACAAAGTTGAACAATATCTAAATCATTACACTATCAAAAAACACTTCTAACTACTTAGCATCATTGTTCTACATATCTACCAGCGTCATTAGTCTACTGCGTCACTGTTCTAAAAGCATACACTTATCGTTGCCAGTTCTCAAAAAACAAACTTTCTTTTTCAATTCTCGTCGGTCTGGAGGCTCAATCCGTTCCCCAAGAGCGGAAAGTGCGTCGTTCGCGACACACTCCCCCCCGATGAGTTTCACCAAGTTGAAACTCAGCCACAGTCTGGTTGAAAGTTCATGAGGTTTAATCGTTCAGGAGTTCGAATCACTCGTCCACATCTAGTTGTTTTGAGGGGATTTTGATTGAGTTCATTTGACTGATCTTTGTCAGTGGCACGAAACTCTGTAGATCCAATAGAAGTTGTAGGCTTATCACACAAATTTTGATCAGAATGCTTCTTTCTCAAACAGTCTCCTATATTATCCGTTTGTAAATGGACTTCCAACGGATAAATTCGTTGTATGGGTCGAAGGATTTCGCCACTTTTGGTGCGTAATTTTACTAAACGAACTACGCCATCATTTCCTGGGATGAGTGTTATAATTTTTCCTAGAGGCCACTTAATTCTTTTCTCAGGTGTTTCTATTAACACAATGTCTCCAACCGATAGTTTAACATATTTCTCTGTTTTTAAAATATGGTTTTTAAAATATGGTTTCAGTTGTCTTAAGTATTCAGTTCTGAACCGTTTTCTTAGATCTTCTCTAACCTTCATCTGATATGCATACCTTTTTTGTAAGTATTTGGCATCAATAATATCTAGATTTGGAACGCCACTTTCTTTTAGATTATCAGGTTCAATATTCCTTCTAACCTTCTTCGGGAACATACAAGGACCTGACTCGGAACAGAGAGCTTACTAAAGCTATGTTCACTAGTTGTGGTAAGTAGACAGGATACAGACGAAGGGTATACAAAACCCTTTATTTTTCTCTATATACAATAACTTCCGTACTTCGGAATACAATGACCCACCACTCGGGGTCTAACGTAAAAGTATAAAAATAAAACTAAACTCTAATTTAACTTTAGAATAATACACGTGGAAGATTGGCCTTATAATAACAGGAAGCGTATGTAGCACAGAGACTGTGAACACTACAATACGTTTAATTTATCAAGAGGATTAAAACCTCTGGCCTGGAAGGCAAACAGCAACTGCGTAACTTCTAAGGTAAGCGGCCTGCGTTGACTTACTGCTTCCTCTCTCTCTTGCTTGGCAAAAAGCCACAACTTAAGTACTTGGCGTTCGCCAGACAAACTTTGCATAAAATCCTTCACGCTTATAATTTTGGCCGGAAGTAGAAAATAAGAAGTGATAGTAAATATTGAAAATAAAATAAACGTTAGTAAAACTTAAGATCCTTACATACTTCCCGCCAGAGTTAATTAGTTTGAAACTGAGGTCTAAAACGACCTTGTTGAAAACTTTTAGCTCTAGAATCTAACGCGAGGCCAATCTTTTACAAACATAACTTCGCTAGAAACTAGAAAATTTAAAAGAAAGAAATTTGTTACAATAGCAGCTCCCAGGATATACAACAATCTTTTTTTTCATCTGTACTGCATCCAAACAGGAGCTTTTATTCAATTCTGGTTCCTTCCAGAGATCTGGAAGGAAAACTAGTTTAATGAAATGTTACACAATGACATGGCAAGTAACATATACAATTATACTGCTCTTAACATTCTTATTTCATTCATGACTATTTTAATTATCTCTCCCCGTGCTCTCTGACATGTGTTGTAAAAGAACACCAAACACGAATGTGTTTCTGTCTACGTGTGCCACACTTCCTCCTACAATCAAAAACACTAACGTGTTAAAATTCAACATAACGAGACCTCTTAACACACCCTAATTTCAACTCTAAACCCTGAGGTACTATTCTAAAAGTGGCTAACTCTAAAGTGTAGCGTCAGAGAGCCTAACTACATCATTCAACCTTTAACACATATTCGCCATGATTTAGTCTTTACAGTCACACGAATAACAAATTTTTAACACATTACTTTCACTTTTACCATATCACGGTATTTCTTAACATTTAAAAGTTAACATAACAGAACATATCAACATGCCGTTAATTTTACACATTTGAAAACATACATTAGTAGTACATTGTTAACTTCTATTCTTTTCAAAGCAAGTGCCAATTCTTTCTACATTGAAATACTACATTTCAAAAAAAGTCTTTCAGACTAAAACTTCTTCTCTTGCTAGAATGTTTTAAATAAAATTTATACAATAACTTTTTACAATATTTAAGTTTTTTACACAACGCTATTATACATCAACTTTAGTTTTACGCGCGAGTAATTGAAAAACATAATACGAAAATCGGTCACAACTCATTTCTCGGCCTTTTGGCGATAAAGGTAGACCTCGCATGAGGTAAAACTTCTTGAAATCTGCCACTTGCAGTAAGAATGAAAGATTAACTTAAGTTTGCAAAGTAACATAAAATTTTACTTATCTTTGTAATATTCGGACATCCTTTTCTGGGCCCAGTCTTTAAAGGTACTGCAGATAGTAGCTTGATTTATCCTCCTTCTTGTACGGGCTCGCCCTTCAGTGCTTTCCTCTGTAAGCTTCCGTTTTTCACCAGTTCGGCCACCCTTGAACACCTTCCTTTTCTCCTCTGCTTGTGGTCTTGGCCGTTTGAAGGCAGCTGGTCTTGGGGGAACCGGGAAAAACTTCTGTCGTGATCCTGCTTGGACCTCGTTGTTGGCCGTTCAAATTTTCCTTGTACTTTTTCCTCCGCCTGCTGATGGCCCTTCCGCAGTTCGGCGACTTTTGCTGCGGAGAGTTCTGTCGGATGAGTAGATCTTCCGTTTTAGAGCCGGGTTATAGTTGCCGTCATTTCTCCTGGTCTCTTCACATACGTCGCCCTTCTCCCTTCTTCATTCTGGGGGTGTTCGTGAACTCTGTTTTCTGGACGGTGGAACGGCTTCTTTTTCTTGTTACCTTCAATTTTTCCGCGGGGCAATTTTCTTTTCACTTGCTTCTGTCTCTCATTGGCTTGCCCTTGTACTTGTCGTTTTTTCCACCTCTGGATGGAACTTGTACCTGCGGTGTCTGCCGTGCCGGATCCTGCAAAAGATCTGAAAAGATTTGCATTTTATTACGATCGAAGTAGGGCTTGATTTGATCAATGTTTGCGGAACAGGTTTCACCATTTCTGGCTTTTAACACTACTACAGCGTGAGTTATTTTTTCTATAACATATGGTCCTTCAAATCGTGGAAAAAATTTGGCAGTTTTATCTTCTGGTGCTGAAGAAAGTGAATGCTTAATTTTTAAAACTTCATCCCCTACTTTATAAGTTACTCCCCGTCGTTTCAAATCATAATAGAGATTCTGTTTTCTTTGTGCTACTTCCGTATTCTTTTTTTGCTTTTATTAGTTTTTCTATATCACCCATTTTAAATTCTGGGGCTCTTTTTGCACATAAAATAATTTATCTAACGGTTTATAATCTTTCTGCCTAGAAATAACTCAGCAGGAGTTTTGCCCGTTGTATCATGTTTTGCGGTCCTAAGGGCGAAAGCAAATTCATTGACATAGTTTATCCCAGCTTTTATGAAAATTTTTAACATAACTACGGATAATTTTCACTATATTTCTATTGACCCGTTCCGCTATATTTGATTGCGGCCGATACGGGACCATTTTAAATGACGTATGCCCAGTTTTTGGCACATGTCTTCAAATATATTACTTACAAATTGAGGACCATTATCCGATATAACTTTTAGGGGCGCCCCGTATTTTAAAATATATTATTTAAAATAGAATCAGTAACTAATTTCGCGGAGGCTCGTTTTAAGGGAACAATTTCGGTCCATTTACTAAAATGATCAACCATAACAAGGAGATAGCGACTTTTATTTAACTGACTTTTTGGGAAAGGGCCCAATAAATCGATGCCAATTATTTCATTTGGAAATTCGGATTTAATACTATTTAGAAACCCGGCCGGGCGGAAATTAATATAATTAACTGCTTGACATGTTGGGCAGGACTGGACATACGCCCTTGTTAACTTTTGCAGTTCAGGAAAGTAGACTGCCTCGCGTACGCGTTGGATAGTTTTTTCGAATACCAGCATGAGAAGCTAAAGGGCTGTCATGGAGCTCCTGCAGGATATTTAATCTAAGACTAGCTGGGATAACAGGTCGAAATTCGTTGTTGGAATTCGTAGTTTTTGTATAGAATAATAGACCATCTATTAGTTCGTAATGGGCCCGCCCTATTTCTTATCGCCACAATATCTTGGTGGCTAAAATTTTCAGGATCCTTCAAATACTCATAAATACTTCCAAACTCAGGATCCTTACCCAGTTCGGTTATTACAGTTTCTCGGGAATTTATTGTACACGCTGTAAGCATTGCCATCTTTACGGTATTGCCTTGTTCGTCTATTTTAATCCTTGATAGGGCATCTGCTACGATATTTTCCTTTCCGGGGGTATGCTTGATTACCAGATTATATTCTTGCAGCTTGAGTGCCCATCTTATTAACCTTGGGGATAAATTTTTCCCTGAGTACAATCTAGTTACCGCCGCATGATCAGAGTATACTGTTATCGGCGCCTTTCCAAAATAGACTCGGAAATTTTGCACTGCTAACAGAACTGCAAGTGCCTCTCTCTCGGTCGCGGAATAGTTTCTTTGTGTTTGATTTAAAGTTCGGCTAAAAAATGCCACGGGCTGCTGATTTTGCGAAAGTACCGCTCCTACCGCATAATCCGAAGCATCCGCTGAAATTTCTAAATTTTCATCCTTTTCAGGAAATTTCAACACAGGGGCTTGCGTTAATGCTTGTTTTAATTTTTCGAAAGCACTATTGGCTTCGGCCGTCCACGAGAATCTTTGCCTTTTTCCTTTTTAATTTTAACAATGGCTCAGCGATAGCCGCAAAATCTTTTATAAAGGACCTATATAATATGAACAAAGTCCTAGAAAAGAAGAGAGCTTCTTTGCCGTGTTTGGAGTCGGATACTTTTGTACAGCGATTATTTTTGATTCATCTGTCTCGATCCCTTTTTGAGATATTTTGTAACCTAAATATTTTAATTCAGGGGCTGCAAATTTGCACTTTTCGACATTAACTTTTTAGACCGGCCTCATTTAATAAAGAAAAACACCTGTCTTAAACCCTGTACATGTTGGTCGAGATTATCACTAGTAATAATGATATCGTCTAAATAGATAAATGTGGACTTTCCAAGAACAGGTCTTAACACAATGTCCATGCATCGCTGAAATTGTTGCTGGGGCCCCTGAAAGGCCAAACGGCATACGCAAAAATGCATAAGTGCCAGACTTGGTTATAAAAGCAGTCTTAGGCACGTCCTCAGGCCTAACCCCTATTTGAAAATAACCAGTCGTTAAGTCTAAAGTCGTCATAAGTTTGGTTGATTTATGTTCCTTAAAATTTCTTCTTCTATGATCGGTAACGGATATACCGGATATTTCGTTATGGAATTTAATTTACGGTAATCAATAGCGAATCTCCACCTTTTTGGATGCTCCAAAGGATAGTCATTATTTTTCTTACATAAAACCACCGGGCTAGCATAACTACTTGAGATGGGCGTTATGATCTTTTTACGTAGCATATCGGTAATATGCCATTCTATAATTTTTTTCCTTATTCTTATCATACCGGTATGGTTTTGGACGAACTGGCAATGCATCTCCGGTGTCAATACTATGGTTAGTAAACTGAGTAAATCCTGGAATATCACTAAATAACGAAGCAAATTCACTTACCACTTGTCGGATTTCTATCTTGCTCGTCATTAGGGAGGTGGTCAAGATTTAACATCGGCGGTTTCAGCCTTTTCTCACGCACTGGTTTCATTGTCAGCTTAAGGGACGCTTCATTAAAATCCAGTGTGTAGCTTGTGCGTCTGAAAGAAAATCTATCCCAAGATTAAATGTGCTTGCAGATTCTTTACTATAAAAAACATCACCTTCACTTGTTCGTCCTTGATACGGATATACAAAGGTACTTTACCTACGCACTTACATTTTCTCTCCTTGCGCCGCTAATACTGTCGTATTATCCGCATTATATATGCGGTATTTGCGAAAATACTTTCTAAAAAAAGACTTCTGCCACACAGGAACACTGCGCGCCGGTATCCAGGAGTGCGGTGGCCGGGATATTTTACCAAAGACTTCAATCTTCGGAAGAATTAAATTTTTCACCATTACTGTATTTAACTTGTAGGAAGAGGGCGTTTTCGTGGCCTTCGGATTTCCGCACCCTCTCGTCAGCAGAAATCTGTTTTAGTTTAAATTATTTTCCTTTCCGTGCTTTCCTTCTTTTTCCCCTGGCCTTGAGACTTTTTTCCTGGGTTGCTATTGAACTGTCGACGTTCGCCGGCTGTTTTTGAATGCTCGGGTTTCCTTGCCCACTGATTCGCTTTTTCTCCGTAGCCATGTGCTTGAGTTTGCTGTAGTCTTGGCGTACCAAATTGGTTTCGCTGTTGATATTGGCGTCTTCTTTCGACGTCCGCCGTTCTTCTACTTTCAAACTGGATTGCTAGCTCAAATAACTTTTCCAGTGTAGTCGGATTTCTTAATTCAATAAAGTCTTGCACTTGGGGCAGTAACCTCGGCAAAATCACTTGAATTATTTCAGGATCCGGACGGTTTCCATACAAGAGCTTGAAAACGTGAATTTTTCTTAAAATAAAGCTCGAGAGGTTTTCGATTCTTTGTTGATGTATGCTGAAAATTCCGTTTCTAATTTCGCACGATCCCTTACAACAGGGAAGGCTTTTAGTAGGGCAATCTTGAAATTTTCGTAAGTATAGGTGGGACTTCCTGCTTGACCCAAGAGACTTCTGCCTATACATTTGAACCAGTTAAGCGCTTGGCCCCTCAAAGCGCTGGTAGCTAAGGTAACTTTTTGAAACTCGTGCACGGGGCACGGGGTAGAGCATGAAGTGGTCATCCAATTTTTCCAAAAAACTGGTTACCGGTGAGTTTCCGTTAAACGTTGCTTCTGGTTTCATCGAAACGCGCATGGTCTGGACGATGTAACCGAATCCTTCCAGGGCGGCAGCTGGCATTTCTGGATTCTGAGCCGTTTCTGCAGGCAGCACAGGTTCTTCTTGAAACTCGGCCATGGTTATTCTTCTTCGTTGGGCGCCACTATCAGGTTCAATATTCCTTCTAACCTTCTTCGGGAACATACAAGGACCTGACTCGGAACAGAGAGCTTACTAAAGCTATGTTCACTAATTGTGGTAAGTAGACAGGATACAGACGAAGGGTATACAAAACCCTTTATTTTCTCTATATACAATAAATTCCGTACTTCGGAATACAATGACCCGCCACTCGGGGTCTAACGTAAAAGTATAAAAATAAAACTAAACTCTAATTTAACTTTAGAATAATACACGTGGAAGATTGGCCTTATAATAACAGGAAGCGTATGTAGCACAGAGACTGTGAACACTACAATACGTTTAATTTATCAAGAGGATTAAAACCTCTGGCCTGGAAGGCAAACAGCAACTGTGTAACTTCTAAGGCAAGCGGCCTGCTTGACTCACTGCTTCCTCTCTCGCTTGGCAAAAAGCCACAACTTAAGTACTTGGCGTTCGCCAGACAAACTTTGCATAAATCCTTCACGCTTATAATTCTGGCCGGAAGTAGAAAATAAGAAGTGATAGTAAAGATTTAAAATAAAATAAAGTATAAATTTAGATCACGAAAAAACATTGCAGGTGTCAAGGGTTCCAGTTCCAAGTCCTCGGAAATATAAGTTAATGGTCTGCAATTTAAGATATTTTCGCAATCACAGAGGATCGTATAGAGTTCTTCATATTTCAGTGAGGCATTACCTAAAACTTTTCTGAGAATGTTTTTCATCAGGCCAATCATTCTTTCCCAAAATCCACCCCACCAGGGAGAAGCTGGTGGGATAAATTTCCACTTAATGCGGTTGACAACATGATTTTTAATAAGTTTATCCCAGTCAATCATTTTTAAGAGCGAATTTGTACCAATAAAATTACTACCGTTATCAGTGTAGACAATTTCAGGTCTTCCTCTGCGTGCTATAAAACGTCGGAAAGCCAATAAAAAGTTATCTGTTGACAAAGACGTTAAAAGTTCAAGATGAATTGCCCTGTATACAGCACATGTAAATAAAACGATCCACGTTTTCGATCCATTTTTTAAAAACAAAGGGCCAGCTAAGTCGATACCTGTCACTTCAAAAATAGAAGAATCTTTAACACGGTCCTTTGGCAAAGGTGCGGATTGTACCGTGGAGGGCCTCGAATCAAATCTTCTACATTTAGTGCAGTTTTTCAACACTTTACGAATAGTTTTACGACTTTTCAAAATCCAGAAATTTTCTCGTAGCATTGCCATTAAAGTCTGAGTTCCGCAATGCATTTGTTGTTCATGTTTTTCCATAATCAGTTTAGAGACAACTGGATGTTCAGGAGGTAGGATTACAGGTGTTCTAAAATTTTCGAAGTCTTGTCTCATTAATATTCTTGACTTTACTCTTAAAAGACCAGATGAATCAACAAATGGTTTTAAATTTCGTAAGCGTTTATCCTTTTCTGTTTTAAAGGAGACCCTTTGCACAATTTTCCAAACAAGGACTTCAGCTGCATTCAATTCTTCGATTTCTAAGTTCTTTGACGTTGTTCTGTTTTTATCTCTGCAGTTATCAATATACCTTTTTATCCAGGCTGTAACTCTAATTATTTTCTCAAAAGAAGAAATTCGTGAGAAATGCGAAAATTCTTCATCTACATTTGTTAACGAGGATACAACTGTTTTTCTTCTTTCTCGATCAATCATATCTTTGTCAGGAGAAATATCACAAGTAGGCCAACAGTCTGGATTCAACTTCAACCATGCTGGACCTTCATGCCATCTTTTGGCTTTAATAGTTTCAACAGAACATCCTCTTGACGGAATATCCGCAGGATTCAAGTTGCCAGGAACATAATTCCATGCATCAGGATTAGTAAGAGCTCGTATTTCTTTCACTCTATTCATAACAAATACACCCCAATTTTCTTCATTCTTAATCCAGTACAATGTGTTCCTTGAATCTGTCCAATAAAACGTAGGTATATTTTCTTCCTTCAAATCTTGTTTTATAGATTTCATTAATCTTGCACCAACAACACAAGCTAATAATTCTAGTCTACAAATTGATGTGGGTTTTAGAGGAGCAACTCTAGATCGTGCTTGAACTAAATGACAAGAAACTTTTCATTTTCATTTCTTAAATAAACGCAGGTTGCATATGCCATTCGGGATGCATCACAAAATAAATGAAAGGATAATTTCAATTTAGAATCAATATTAAGCATCCTCTGTCGAGGAATTTTTATTTCTGTTAAACGATTTGCATCATTTTTCCATTTTATGTATTTCCTATGAATTTCTTCAGGAAGAGCTTCATCCCAAGTTTCTTTTAATTCCCAGCAGTTTTGTAACAGAATTTTAGGAATTAAAATTATAGAGCAGATAATAAATTTTATGACCTAACAGGGTCATAAATTTTATGAATTTCAGACAAAATTGTTCTTTTAGTAACAGGTTTGTTTTTTGATTCATTTAATCCCTTAATATCACAACTTAATGTGTCATCATGCAAATCCCAAAATGCGTTTTAGCTTCACAAGGATCATCGAAAAACTCATTCTCATTTAATTTATCAAGCTTCGACTGTTCTAAAATGGGTTCAACAACAAATGCATCCCTTTTATTTCGAGGATAGTTATATGCCCACTCTTGTAATTCAAATTTAGCACTTGCCAAAATTTCAGTGGCATCATTTTTTAACTTCTTTAATTCTGATTCATCATTCACACTTGTAACTAAATTATCAACGTACCAGGATTCTACTAATTTATTAGCACTCGCACGATAATTTTCTGGTACTTCATTCATTAATTTCGTTAGTGTTGCATTTAAGAGAAATGGACTGCTGGTTATTCCAAAGACCACTCTTCTATGCCTGTATATTTTCAAACGCTCAGAATTTCCCTGTTCCCACCATAAAAATCTTAAATAATCTCTGTCTTTAGGATTAAGTGCTATCTGCAGAAAAGCCTTCTTAATATCAGCGCTCACGCCAATTTTTCCCAGTCGAAATCTATTTATTATAGCTGGAACAGTATCAATCAAATTTGGACCCTTTTCCAAACAGTCATTTACGGAAGGTGATCCTTTAGTTCTTACGGATCCATCGAAAACCGGTCTTATTTTTGTCGTGGTGGAATTCATTCGAATAACAGCACGATGGGGTAAATAATGAGAGGGGTTATTAACTTCTTCCTCAGGAACAATCTCTATTATTTTATCATCTTCCCAAGATTTAAAAATTGTGTTATAATCTTCTAAAAATCCCCCATCCCTTAAATTCTTCACTGTGCTCTTTAATCTCTTTTCTGCTATTTCCCGATAGTTTGGAAGTAGGGAATGATTTTTCAATCCAAGGTAAACAAACTTGAAACCTTCCTTCTTCATCTCTTTTCGCATTGGAAAGAAAATGTGTCATTGTTTGTTTTTCTAATTCCCTTTTAGTTTGACTTTCTGAAGGATCTAATATCCCAAGAGTATCAAGTTTCCATAAATCAGAAATTTTACTATCTGATACTAACATAGAAAATATATAAGAAGAATCATATTTATTTTCCATTTCTACGGGAATTTTCCCCATGATACTCCAGCCTAAATAAGTTTCAATGCAAACTAATCCACATTCTAACTTCTTTTCTTTTATTTTCCCTGTAAGCAATTTTCCCGCTATGTCTGCGCCTATGAGGATATGAATTTCAGAAGGAGAATGCTCGAACAACAATTTTTTATGCCTACCTTCAACATCATTCAAAAATATGTTATGGGTTTTTAACTCATTTAAATAAGGCTTGATGTTCAATTGTGGAATATCAGAACAAATATTCGCTTGATCAAAAGCTTTGAAGTTACACTGATAATCGTTTTTGATACTACTTAAACGTACAACGAACTGTTTATGAGTTTCAACCACTTCAGTTCCTCCGAACAGACTATGAATCACACTGCTTTCGTTAATACATTCGTACTGCATAGCATTAGCTAAGAATTTAGATACATAGCTTCGTTGACTCCCAGAATCAATTAAACAGCGGCAGTATTTTTCTGGACCATTTCCACGCACTCTTACAACTAAAGTTTGTAATAAAACTTTCTCTAAACATGATTTGTTCGTCAAATTGAGATCCTTCTTATTTGATTTTTTTCTCATCTAAACTATTTCTGTCACAGATTAAACTATTGTGTTTCCAATCACATGAATCACACTTTATCTTCAAAAAGCAATTTTTTTTGCCAAATGGTTACCCCTTTTAAGGCATAAATAACACATTCCGAGTTTTCCGAAGTGACGCCTTTCTGTCTGTTACAGACTTCGGGCAAGCTTCGGAAGTATGTTTTTCTTTTTCTGAATCCTCGCAAAATATGCAGCTGTTAATTGAAACCTTTAACACAGCAGCCGTTGGAATAGAAATTTTATTTATTCTTTTTTTTTATTCTTTTTTCTTTAGGAAAGTTTGGTTCTCGAAATGGCTATAATTATGTTTGTTTATTTTATCTTGAATTTGTAGCATAGATTCGCGGCACTCAATTTCCGTTTTTTCAAGAACTCTAATAATTCGTTTACATCGAAATTATCTTTCGATTTCCCTTTTCTTTGGAAATCAAGATTCAATTCATTCGGAATTAATTTTAATAAAACTGGTGTCAATAACGTGCCATATGTGCCAGAAGTTACATTAAGTGATTTCAAACTTCTTATCTGTATTTCGATATCATCATACAACTTACGTAATGCAAATATATTTTTAGCATTCCTAACAGGTTCTAAATTTAACAGTTTTCCCATATGTGCATTTATAATTAAATCTGTTCGACTAAAACGTGTTTTAAGTAATTCGATTGCGGGAAAATAATTTTCACTTGATAATTCAAAACCACTAACAGCATTACAAGCAACACCTGATAAAAAATTAAATTTAATAATTAAATTTGTCTGTAGCTGTTAAATCACTATTCTGATCTATCGCATTGTCAAACTCGTTCCAAAATGATAACCAATTAACAGGATCGCCTTTAAATTTATTAATCGATAATTTGGGCACTTTAATTTTTGAATGAGAAACAGAACTATTTGAAATATCATTCATAATATCACCAATTGTATTCGAAACAGGAATTTCAGGTTTCCTTTTCTCTTTTAACATAAATGTTAGTTTTGATTTCATGGAAATTATTTTCTCGGAATAAACTTCACAAGTTTCAAATTCCGATTCATATTCAGTAGCCTCAATTAATTCTTGTATTTGTTTATCTAATTCTTTTAGGCTGTTATATTTTGAATCTAATAAATCAATATTTTCATTAAGAATACACAAATCGTGTTCTGTTTCTTGGAGGTATTCTTTACAATTATTTATCAACTTTGTTGTCATACTCCTAACTACAGTTCGCCTTTTCTTTAATTCTTCTATTTTAGTAAACATGTTTAAATATTTCAAATTACAAATCAGTACTCTCAAATCATAAATAAACTTCTCAAATCAAAAGGAGATATTTTTTAAACATTCCTAAATCTTTCACTTCAATATAGTCTACATCGGCGGTCCCTGTTCGGGCGCCAAAAAATTTATATCGTTTCAATTCAGTAAAAAACAGATCATTCAAAATTCTAGATAAGCAAATGAAGAAAGGTTGCTTACCTTTATGATCCGCGTTCTTCGATTCTGGTCCGCCGCTTTGTAGACTCCGATTTGGTTTCAAACTCATCTAAAATTGGCACTATTTTGCACGAATTACTTTATTTTTGACATTTCACACAAAATAGGAACAATATCTAAATCATTACAACATTAAAACACTTCTAACTGTTTAGCGTTATTCTTCTACACAGCGTCATTGTTTTACAGCGTCATTATTCTACAGAGTCACTGTTCTAAAAAGCGTACACTGTTCGTTGCCAGTTCTAAAAAAACAAACTTTCTTTTTCGATTCTCGTCGGTCTGGTGGCTCGATCCGTTCCCCAAGAGCGGAGCATGCGTCGTTCGCGACAGAAACTTAATAAACATATATGAAGTGAATTATATATCAAGCAATTGTATTATTGCGATGAGGACATGAAAATTATTAAATTCGCTAATACTAGAATAATGAGAATGCGTTGGTAGTAATGAGTATTATTATGGGTTGAAGTATGGCACAACAAAGTCCTATTCCCGCTTTGGAGAATTCAAAATAAGAGTCTTAATACTTTGCCAGTTAAATCGTAGTCTTCAGTCTAATATATGTTGCTTTGATGAGATTTGTTAACTATGAGCAGTGAGAAAAACGAGGTTATTGCACTTTTGTTCTGCGTTGGCGAAGTTTAATATGCAGGGTTATGATGAATAGTACGAGGAAGCTTGAGTGGATGCACAATTGTTGGATCATAGTTTGTGAGTTTTGCTATATGATGATGTTCTGAATTTTGTACACTTCTGAAGAAATTACGCGCGGTCATCAGTAAATAATTGTGGGCATGAGGAATTTTTAAATCCTGATGTATTTGTTGTTTTCTGACCAACCACGGTGAATTTGTTAGGCTTCTAAGGATTTTATTATCTATAACGATGATCTTGCGACGATAATATTTTGGCGCGGTGGCCCAACACGGAGCTACATAAAAAAGTATTTGCTGAATTTCTTGACCACGCATTTAATGTAAACTGGTCTTCACACCTGTTGCCAACTAAAATCAAGTTTTACAGCGTCATGTCCATGCGTAAGTCTTAAATTTTGACATTTTCCCCAAACTGCCTTTCTTGTTGTAAGAATGATTAGTTTAGTTTTGATTTTTTTTTGATTTTTTTTTTTTTTTTTTTTTTTTTTTTTTTTTTTTTTTTTTTTTGTTGTTGTAAGAGTGATTAGTTTAGTTTTGATTTTTTTTAATGCGTGTCTGTTTGAAAAATATAGAGCCGCGAAGTCCTAGAAAAAGGGATGGGTACTGAAATAGTTTTCTTATTTCTAAAAAAATTATTTTAACTAAAATTATAGTTTCAGACTTTTATAAGCATCGCGAGTTATTTTTTTTGGTTATATAATAATTAATGAAACTGCTTTCAATATTTCTCTTCTGTTTTTAACTAGGTGTTTGTAAAATTATTTTAATTCAAATTTTTCTAGAGCCCGCATGTAAACTTGTTATGTCTCGAATGGCAATTACTGAGGTTACTGCTTTTTTGGTCTTGTGTCTAGCAATATCTTACTAGTGTTTAGTGTCAAAAGAGACCTCATTTTTAGTTATCACAATGGAAGACCAACAGCAATACGAAGACAATTTTACGTCTGAAGATCAAAATTATGCTGAATATGGGACTGATTTTAATGAAGGACAACAACAAACGCAGTCTAATGGCGACGTGGAAGACCAAGGCGGTGCAGGTGGAGATACCGCATCGTCTAGTAAATCCTCTTCTGAAGAAGATAAGTAAGTTGAACTATAGAAATTTATTTTAAAGTATCATTCAGAAAATCGTGTAATTTTAAGTAACGAAATATTAAAGGTTTAAATGCATTACAATGATGGAAATTTTATCGGGCGTCCTTTTCAGGCATTGTCGACCGGTATCTGGTTCGCAAATGGCGGCGTGAAAAAAAAGTGAGGTCGCTAGATTTCTATCTAAAGTGATCGCATGTTTAGTGTAAAATAAGATTTTATTCTCATTCTCAGATAATACTTTAAGTTAATTATTCTTTCACATTGGCTTAATTTTTTTTATTTGTGAAATTTTTACTGCCGTTGTGCATCTTCCCGCGTTATTGATGACATTTTTTTTGCACGAAATATTTTATTAAAAAAAAAGCAAAAAGATAAAAACAAGTCTACGTTCTTGATATAATTTCATATTGAAATGTTAGCAGTCATCATAAGCTTTTCTACAAGTAAATTCGTTAACTTGTGTATAGGATAGCCTTCATTGTGACATTAATTTTTTGGATGCATTGTTTGCTGTCATTATGAAGAACCCTTTCCTTTATAAAAGTATTCTTTATAGACAACGGGCATGTAATTGTTATGTTTATAGTATGTTGTGAATCCTCAGGTAAAAAGATGCATTTGTATTTTTTAATGATAAAATTTGTGCCAAAGTTGCTTAAGGTAAGCTTACGTAGAAGTTTGTGTAGAAGGCCATTGTCAGAAATAAAGCAAAATTTCTGATCTCTAAAACTTCTCTTGTCTATTATTTGAACAAATTTTGTTAAAATTTTTGAAAACTGTTCCTTTACTTTTTTGAAATATGTTATTTAAGTTTTGTGTAATCTGAGAGGTAGTAGACGACTTGTCATATTGTGACAAGGAATTATGGAATCATGCTATCCCTAAAAAGAACATATTGATAGAATATGAATTAATGACATTTCTATGCCACTGTACTTTTTTAGCTCTAATTTTTCTTTGCAACATTTTCAGTACAGTTTTATATTTTCCAGCAAATCATTGTTTTCCAAATAAAAAAGGTAAAGAACATTATAAAGTAAGCAAGAACTAAAACTTCTACATATAAGTTATACACAGTTTGTCTTCTAAATTAAAGACTTCTCCATAAAGCAAAAGAAATTTATAAACTTCAAGTTGTTAAAAATCTTGTGTAACTAATCTTGATAGTTATGATTCATTGCCAACATAACTTTTTCGTCATTAATGCTAAAAGTATAGTCATATCTTGGTCATTAACACGTGAGTGTAAAAGTAAAACAATAACGGCCAAGACCACATCAAAGTGTATCATGAATTACAATCACTAATCTAAGTTGAACCTTAATAAAATCTAATCTTTTATGAAACATCTGAAGTAATGAGTTCGAATCTTGCTCATGGTGCTTTTGTTCCTAAACGAACCTCTGGTATTCGTGAGATATGGTTAAATGACAGAGCTTGGGAAAAAACACATTACCATTGATCCATATATCAATTTCTGAATATACCTCCTTCCAAGAAAGAACTTAATAAGAAATAAAATATACCTGGTACGTATCTATCTTATAATAATAAAAGCAAGTGTAATGTGTCTGTCTGACCGAGCTCTCCAGCCAAATCTATTGCACGCAGGGACCTGGAATTTTTTATACGGAAGCACAAAGGGGCTGGCCACCAGACCTCGAAGCCCGATTTTCGATTTTTGAATTAGAAAAATTTAAAAAAAATTATTTATAATTAATTAATCATGTTTTTTTTTGACTCACTGATATTATTATTGTTTTCAAATAACGTTCGATTGTAACAATTGATTCTTTATTCTAGCGTTAGTTTGCTGTTTTGACGATACATTAAATCGATTAATTACAATTCATTTCTTTTTTGTAGCTTGTGGGGGGGGAGAGAGAGAGACAGTCTACATGTCCTACACTACTATTCCTGCGCTATTCACTTATCTGCATTTTCTAAATGGACGGGCAACGCCGGGCGGGTACACCTAGTGTATTATAAACCACAGCTAAGACTTTAAAATCAGTCTGGAACATCCCTTAACTCCTTCACATCGAAGTTGCCCAAAACACCTGATCATTCAGACATCAGCAGGTTGCCCGAACGCCTGAATAATTTTCTACCTGGTGCTTTCCATCACGTGTTAGTGCATGTCTCATTGCTTTCAGGAGTTGTTAAATGACATGCCAGTCATTCTCTGGAAGTGACTAAAAGTAGTTCCATTATATGAGCACACCTTCCTTCTCCTTTGTGTAGCTTTAGTATTTAGCTATTGATGCCCGAAGTTGCTATCCTGTCCCAATGGGAATACTGCACACAGTGAAAGTGCAAGTTCTTAAGTAGGTTATTGCTATTGCTGTAGCATTCTAGTTGCAATGGGGAAAGGGAATCCATTCCAACTAAAATACAGATGTAGAGGTGTTTCAATTGTTTTGAGTGAAACAGTTTTTGACCTCAAATGATGCGCGAGTTGAAATCGGGTTCAGGGCTTGAACTGATAATCAGACTGATTATAGATGGTATTGTATATATTAATATTTCTGAGTACATCAGAAAACTAAAATCATTTAAAGTTGTGCTGTCTAACAGAAAGTATGTTTTAATTACAAAAAAGTTCACAACATTAAAATTTTTTCCTTCAGTATTTTGTAAGGGGTAAAAGTGTATTTATTTCATTATGGCTATTAGCGTATATGTACCACCACCATAGATTAGCAAATATTCCATTTAAAAACAGGTTACATCTATTGCAGTCATTACAAACAAATATAACAATCATACTATCACCCTAGGTAATCGAATATTCCTTCCACTATGCAATTACAATTTTTGAGGCAAGCATGCCTCAAAAATTGTAACCAAATTTTCAGTTGTCTTTATTAGTACAAAATAATTTTTCTGTTAAACATGCTCTGAAATAACAGAATTTCAATAACTATTCAAACTTTGATTTTTTTGTATATTTTGTCTTCATACACAATGTTCTACAATCTTCTGCAAAATAAATTATTTATACTGAAAATAAATTATAGTGATGAGTCTCAGAAACTTGTGTTACATAGTATTCCATGTGTACAGTATTTAAACAGGATTAATATAAAAATATTTTGTGATGATCCGAAAGATGCATGAGAGATATACCATTAAAGTATTTTGCTGGGGATTAGTGGTAAAAGCAGTATAAATACTAACCACTTTTGTTAAAAATGCATTAGATATCTGAAAAATTATCTTTTTGCTATTTATGTTACTTATTTCAGTTCATGTTCTTTCAAAGTTAGTGTGCAAGAATGGGATTGCTTTATTCTCTTAGTTTGATGAAATAGACCCAAAGAAATCCAACAGAGTAGAGATTATAGAGTCGTGACTTCATACTGTTATTATTTCTTTTGGGTCAGAAAGTATAACTAAAATTATAAAATTGGCAGTTTCCAATTTATCATATTTTGGAAATTTAAAAGCACAGCTTTAGTATTAGTCCTTTTTGGCGAGAAATTTGTTTGGCGACATTTTGGAGCAATAAATGAAAAATTATAACCTTGGTAACCCTAAATATTGAGCTTCAAACATGCCACCATTTCTGTCCACGTAACTTTAACGAATTTGATAGGTATCAGAGCTTTGATGGCAGGAGGGATAAATTGTGTGTTTTTCTTTACTTTTGTGTTATGAAAGCACAACATTTAAAATATTTTTTAAGAAGCCAAATTTTTTATAGTTAAAACTGGTGCTTTTAATATTACATCACATGAGTCTTGACATTTTTTCATATGTCAACTCTGCATATTATTATAAACTCCACCCCTCCCAAGGGGAAAAAAAAAAAAACACATTTTCAGTAGCATGAGGTAAACTCTTGGTGTTTCCTTTGCTAAGGAGATCAAAATTACCATGGTCTATAAAAATACTTATTTACCTCATATTAGAACTATAGGGATGTGTAATTGCATGAATTCATAGGTTCAAATCAGGACCAAAATCAGGTTTCATTATTGCTTTTATAACATTTTCATAATTTGTCTGACTAAAAAATATGTTGCTTAGATTATGGTATATTTGCTTATAATTTAAGAGTTCTCAAATTTTGTAAATCTTACAACCTAACAGCTGTATGTGAATAACCTTCACTGAGTATTATTACTTTTATAATAGTATATGTTGACATAACAGTCGAAATTTTATTTTAAATTTTATTCAAATCTTCTACATTACTTAAACATTTTATCTAACAGAAATCTGAATTTTTTGTAATAAAAACTCTATAATAAAAGTAAGAGTACAATTTATATATAAAAATTTGACTACATGGCAAGCACTTAGATACTGATTTCAATGTCTTTAAATGTTATTATCATAAAGTTTAGATATATTCTTATTAAGTTAAGATATACTTTTTTTTATATAAGTTTAGATGTGCAGAACAGAAGGCACACTTTGTGCTTATGACTCAGTCAACTACTTATGGCAAGGATAACTATTATAACAATTAAGTTCAAATGTAAAATTAATGTAAAATTTAAATTCAAATAAACTAGCAGCCAAAGGCTGCACGCAAATCAATTTAATGTGAAGTTCGTTATGGAACGTAACTGGCATGGAATTCAACTGTCAGCAATTATAACTGCAAGACTGAAGACTACAGAATCTTTTCTTATCTAGCAACCTAGTAACGTGGCCTCAAAAGGCAAAACACGGTTTGTTTTACAAACTAAACACTTCAATTGGATTCTGGTGAGAAAATGGATGGGGAAAATGACAGTAAAGATCCCAAAGCATAAATTAACTCTGGTTACAAAATAATGTAACCTTACATTATACTTTGTTCCCTGATTAATTATTCAGTACATGAAATAGTGTAATGCATTTTTGTTTGGCATCACATACAAATTATTTAGTTTATTTAAATGCTTCCAAAACTGACAGGATTTTGCAAACATATTGACCATATTTTTCGACCTATAGATGCAACACTTCTTCTCTTCAGAAGCAAAATTTAGAATTAAGAAATAAGGAAATAAGAGAGAATTATGAATAGAAAATAAATACATGTGCTGGCTAGCAGAAGAAGGATGCCTTTATAAAGTACTTTTTAAGAGAAACTGGCTCAGATTCACATTACATCTACGGAAAACTACTAAAACCTCCCATATAGCCAGCCTGAACTACCACTGTTCGGTGGCTATCACTCTACCACTAGTGGATTCCAATGACTGTACGAATTTTTCACAGAAATCATCATTTACAATGATTGTTGTATTATTACCATTGCTACAAAATTTACTCATTATGATAATTTAATTTTAGCTTTTAAATTATAATCATAAATTACTTGTAATAAATTGAGAGATTAAAAAGTACACACCATTTACAATATTTAATAAAAAATATTTCTAACACTGGTACAAAACTTGCCCATTATAATTGAATTTGATTTCCTTCACTTTGAAATATTTTATTTTATTTTAATAGTAACAGAATCTAAGAAAAAAACATATACTAGTTTGAATTGCATTTATTTAACCTTTTGTAATTTCATTATTCATAACATAAAAATTAACCTTTTGTAAATTTAAAACATTAGCTAAGTACTATATAAAATATAAATATGAACTAACTACTTAAAATATTAATGTTTAATACATTATTTTGTAATTAAAAATATTAACATTTTGTAAATTTCATTACTCATAACATAATAATTGTCATAAATTCATTTACAGTAGTGTTTCAAGAATTTATCATAGCAGTACTAGAAATATTGAAAATTAGAGAAAGACTGTTTATTCTGATCAAGAGCTTATTTTTTTGGATTGTTATTTAGTCTAGATTGGGTTTTGTTGACAATCCGCCATTTTTTTCCGATCTTCAAAACCCGGTCTACCTTGGCGACCGAAGTTTGTCGCCAAATAAAAAAATCGCCAAAAGGACCAATACTAAAGCTGTTCCAATTTTAAAAAATGAGAAGTCAACTTTATTGTATAAATATTGTTTTTCGGGTTAGAAGTTAAACTTAACTAATGTGCCATTTTAAAATTTGAATGTTTTGTTTCATTTCAGAAAACTTTTTATTGGTGGAATTAGTAGAGATACTAACCAAAGTAAGTGTTAGTTTCTTGTAATCTTATGTGAAAGTATGTCATTTTTAGAGTATGTATTTATCTTTTTAACCTTATTGAATATTTTTTTTAAGAAATATGTTAGAAATGTATTTACATTTTATATGTTAACATTTTTCAGCAATGTGTATTTAAATGTGTATTTAAGAATTTAGTTTGCTTATAAATGCGATGTTGTATATATATGTACAGGGGTTGGACAAAAATATGGAAACACCTTTAAAAAAACATGTTTCTTTGCTTAATATGATGTAAGAAACCCGTTGGCATTCAAAAAACAGCTTGCAGTCTTCTCGGAATGGATAAATACAGTTCCTGTATGTTTGCCAAGGGAATATTATACCATTCTTCCTGTTAAACGGTGGCAAGTTCAGATAACGATGTTGGCGGTGGATAACGAGAACGCACTTTCCGTTTCAATGTAGACCACAAAGGTTCGATAATATTCAGGTCTGGTGACTGTGGTGGCCAGGGAAGATGGGACAACTCATCCTCGTGCTCAGAAAACCAGTCCTGGACAATGTGAGCTGTGCGAACAGGGGCTTTGTCGTCTTGGAAGACACCATCACCATCAGGGAACAAAAAGTTTGTACCATGGGATGAACTTGATCGGCCAAAATGTTCACATAAGTCTTGGCAGTCATGTGTCCTGACACAGTTATCATGAGGCTAGCAGAGAACGACGATATAGCTGCCCAAACCATAACAGAACCCTCGCTATGTTTCACTCTTGGCAACAAGCAGTCTGTATTATAGGCTTGAGATGGCGTTCTCCAGATGTAAACTCGGCCAGAAGTGGGAAACAATGTGAAAGAAGACTCGTCAGACCATATTACTCGCTTGCACTGCTCTATAGTCCAGGCTTTATGACTTAAAACACCACCTTTTCCTGTTACGGGCATTAGCATCACTGATGAGTGGGTTCTCAATTGCACCACGGCCAGCAATTCCCTGTTTATGAAGCTCCCTTCTAATTGTTTTGGTACTCACAGGGTTCGGTAACACAACATTCATTTCAGCAGTAACTTTTGCAGCTGTGGTCTTCTTATTTTTCGTCACAATTGCCCTTAATGATCGTCTGTCACGATCACTCAGGACACACTTTTGTCCGCACAAGTCTGTTAACTCTGACATAATGCAATGACGACCTCACGTAACAGTACTCCGACAACAACTGAACTGTTTAGCACATGTACGAAGTTGTATAGGTGGCGTCAGTAGTCAAAAATGCCAGCGCCACCTACATATTTCATTAAAATCAATCTTTCTTTTCAAACATGCATTTCACAAGGTGTTTCCATATTTTTGTCCATCCACTGTATATGATTATGGAAGATGAAAAGTTAGATCTAGTTAGTACTTATACAAATGTATTTCAGAGGATTTAAAGGAATACTTTTCCAAGTTTGGGGAAGTAACCGAAGTAAACATCAAAACAGATCCTTCTAGTGGACGATCTCGGGGTTTCGCTTTTGTTGCATTTGCTAGCCGGGATTCTGTTGATTCTGTAAGTAATATTAATAATTGTATGCATCAGCATGTTATATAAAAGCAAGGTTATAATTCCAGAATATTTAATTGACCCTTCCTGTAAAGTTTTATTTAAAAACCTTTCAGTTCATGTATTCCTGCATTACTTTAATGCATTCTAAGGGTTTTCATCCGCAGAGAACCCGTTGGTGCTTCGGGAAAGAACCGTTGGCGCCGTTGCATTTTTACTCGCCAAGCTCGCGGTTCATCCAGGATGAGCCGTAAACGTGATTTTTAGTGCATGTAAATTCAAGTTAGCAGACAAAACAATATATTAAGCATATGGTAGTAAAAATTCACAGATAATAAGCATGCAGATGTAAACTAAACGGTTAAACGTGAATATACGAAAATAAACATGTCTTTTTTAAAAATATATTGACAATACAAATAACCTTCAACAAATCAAATTTCTTTAGTAGCATTGTTATAAAACTAGAACTTTATACATTTTTATTTTTTCAAGAGTTATTTGAACTGTATTCCTTACATCAACAGTGGTTGCCTAGTTTTGATGACCATGGGGATGCATCAAACTACTCTGTCGTCTTAGATAATCAATAATATTTTTTATTTCCATTTAATTATTTATGTCACACCTGCCATCCACGGAAAGGTTATTGTTAGAAAAAGTATTAACAATATAGTATCTTGTTAAAATTTTACGCCATAAAAATTGGAGCCGAGAACCTGCATCTATCAACGAAAACTTCTTTAATTATACGAAAATATTTATCTATTCGTTGTTAAAAAATTCAGAAAAAATAACGTGGAAAATCAGAAAAAATAATAATAAATAAGAGAAAAAGAATATAAATCTCCAAATGTGAACGACAGCGATAATTCAACAAAATGAACTTAAGAGGAATCGTTGCAACCTTCAAATAAGTGAATAGGATGAATCCGATAGGTCACCAGGTTTGAACTATTATCGCCAAAGTTGGCGATGTTTACATTTACCGGGTTCTCTGCGGAAGTGCTTCCCATTCTAATATGCATTTTTAAGAAAATTCGTTTCGGATCTAAATGGAATTTCTTTACCTTTTAGAGGTGAAAATGGGTTTTCTTCCGCAAAGGATCCGTTGGCGTCGATGTGTATTTATTCGCCAAGCTCACCAACGACTAATCGGCCATGATTTTAACGGTGTATAATCAAAGAATATGCATTGTTAGACATTCTTTGTTAAAGTTAAGTTGCAAGATATTTATCATATGGAATCCATGATTTTAGTGGTGTACAAGTCAAGTTATAAGATATTTAGCATATAGAAGTAAATAAATAGGTTGATAATGACATTTAGCAGTGTATAGTTAACAATGTAGTATTATTTAACACGAGAACGCGCGTCGCAGTTAAATGACATACAAATGAAACATATTACAATTCAGTTAAATAATGCATTCTGTATTAATTGCAACATTTATTATATAAAATAACTTAAAAATAATGTTAATTTGAAAATTAATAACATAAAAGTACTTACATTTTCTTCAGATGACTAGGAATCATTGATTTCTAAGACAAATTTGTTTTTTAATGCAATTATAATCTAAATTATGCAGAATTATTGCATGCATAATGAGTTACATAATTAATTTTCAAATCAATTAGGTTCAAGAAGAATTAGATATTTTGTAGTTTATACATGAAGTTTCTAAAAGTGCAAAGGCCAAATCAGAAGTGCCTCCTATTCTGGTGGAGTTTTAGTAGATAAAAGCAAGATCCTTAAATTTATGCCGGCAATATTTAATAGCAAAAATAATATGCCTATTAGTTTGGCCACAGAATAAGTGCCACCCATTTCGTGACTATATCAACTGCTTTTGTCATGTTATAAAACGTAATTACTTCAGATTTCTTCAAATCTTCCATGCTTTCATCAATATGGTCATCATTCTGCATAGTTGACAAAAGGTTAACAGATTTGTTCTTTTCAGCCATATAAGAAAGAAGCATTATGTCCTTTTGAAACACCAAGAGAGTTGAATGCTGTTCTCTATTCTTATTTGACACAAATTCAGGTGGGATAATCTTATCCTTGCATATTTTTCCCATGTTCAAAGTATAGAAGGTTCTAAAATCAACCACAGTAAGTATTTTTATACCATATTTTACAGGTTTCTTGAGCATATACTGCCAAAAGGTTCTAGCTTTTCATCCAGTCATGTATTCCTCTAAATGATATAATTTCTGACAATTCTCGACAAAATTTTCAAACAAATCTCTTATTGGAGCTAATTTATCACTCTTTCTTCTGTCATCCAGTGTTCCGACATTATCGAATCGTAAGGCACGAAGAATGAAAAGAAAATATACAGTTCATTTGTTTTATGAAAAATATCCAATCTTGTTCCATCAGTCACCCATAATTCTCTAGCATTTACACTGGAGGATTTGTGCAATCCACCTATGTACAAGTCCCTAGTCAAGAAACTCTTCTTTCTCCATAGGTTTTGCGTCTCTTAAAATTTCCCAAAATATTTTTTACATAAATATTAGAGCATCTCGCAATCATTTGAATCATTGTGTCATCAATATTAGCTTACATGCATTGATGGGTGAAGCCACATCTTTAGATATATGTGTATTGGCAGGCAATTTTTTTATGATATTATGGGAATCTTTGAATTCGAAAGTGTTCTTTCTTCCATTTTGTTGTTTTATCTTTTTCTACAAAATAGTCAGTTTGATCGCAAGGAATGTCTTCTGTAGAGTCGCACTCTTTGTCTGATTCAGACTGATGATCACTAAATATTTTGCAGTAATTGACAAAATAACAGATCTTAATAAAACAAATTTTATTTTTAGTTTAGGGAGATAGATAATTTGAATTAAATTTAGTGGCAAAATTTTCGTACAACTACGAGGCATATTCGGAAACTAAGTACCGTTTTGAAAAAAAAGAAAAAAAAAAAAAAAAATAGTACAATTTTTTCGAATCCAATTTTATTTTTACATGAAAATACATGTCTTAAACTATTTTTCAACATAGTTTCCGCCAGTGATCAAACACTTGTCATAGCGGGTGACCAGTTTCATCATCATAGAAACTTCCCGCCAGTTTCGATAACCACGACTCCACAGCATTTTTCGTGTCATCGTCAGATCCAAAGCGCTTGCCACCAAGCTCGCGCTTCATGTGCAGGAACAAGTGATAGTCGGACGGCGCCAAGTCCGGGCTGTACGGCGGGTGATCGAACTGCTCCCAATGAAACTGTCGAATTAACGATTGAGTGACACCAGCAGTATGGGGCCAAGCATTGTCATGGAGCAACACAATTCCTTTACTGAGCATTCCTCTTCGTTTGTTTTGAATGGCATGCCTTAGTTTCGTTAAAGTCTCACAATATCGTGCCGCATTAATGGTTTCACCTCTGGGAAGAAATTCAGTAAGCAAAAATGCCTTTCCTATCCCAGAAGACAGTGCACATAACTTTTTGTGATGACATTGTCACTTTGCCTGTACAGAAACATGCAAAATCCACTTTCTTGCTAAGGCCAACATAAAGGGCAAGCACCAAAAGGGTTGCATAATAAATTTTTAAAAAAAACTTTATTAGGAGGTTACAAAATGTGAAGTTTTATGAATTTGTATGCAAGACAACTGAAACGTTTTGTAATAAATTTTGTAAAGACTTGTTTTGGAAGTTTATAAAATGTAAAGTTTTATGGATTTGTTGTATATGTAAGACAGCTAAAACGTTATGTAATAAATTTCAGAGATTTGTTTTGGAAGTTTACAAAATGTGAAGTTTTATGGATTTGTTGTGTATAAAACATCACTTTTCTTGATTTTTTAAGGTATTGCACAATGGACCTCATTCTATTAAAGGTAAACAAATTGAGGCCAAGAGGGCCAAAGTTAGACCAGGTATCAAAAAAATATTTGTTGGCGGAATTGAGTCTGATATGACTGAAGCAGACATCCGTAACTACTTTGAACATTTTGGAAAAGTAAGTTGTTTTAGACTTTTAGGTAAATTTTTGTACCTTTTCACTTTATGTATTAGAAATGATGTAAATGCATGATTAGTTGAGATTGATGTATTATATTTTCAGTTTATATGATACAACTGATCATGTTGTAAATGCATAATCAGTCGAGATTAATGCATTTTATTTTCACTTTATATGTGAGAAGTGATCATGATGTAAATGCATAATTGATAATAAATAAAAATTGAGATTTATATATTTTCTTAAAATTTCGTAGATTACTCGAAATTGCAATTTCTGATGTTTAGCCTGAACTAAGGAAGTCATTTTCCAGAATAAAGGAAATTTAAATTTCAAATTCCATTCTCTCATGCCTCACTCGCCATATTAAAAATTTTCTCAGTATAAGGAAAATGAAATTTGGCAAAAAATAGTAAATTTAAAATGTTTAAATCATATTTTCTAATTGTTTCTATAATATCTAATTATTTAATTATATTAGAAAATTATATAAAAATTTCAACTTCTTAATAGAAATGCTGTTGCTGAGCAGCACGAAAACAGTTTTGAAACTGCAATTTTCCTTGAAATGAGAACCTGTTAAGTACTACAATGAAAGGAAATATTTATTTTGTGAAATGGCTTAGTCTAGGTGCTGTTAATCTAAAACATGAAGCATAAGTTGCAATTAAGTGTAGGTAAAGCTGTAAGTGATTGAATATCAAAAGTGTTTGTGCTTTCAGAAATATTTTCTGCCAATTTTTATGTGCATATTATTTATTGCATTCGGTATTTCCCATGAAGTGTATTACTATTTCTTGAAACTAAATTTTATTACAGCAGTAGTGAGGAGCAATAAAGATGTGATATGAAATATAAAAACATTTTCTAAAATATTCTTGGCTTCCTTAGCATGCCAGTAGTAATATTGAATTTGATTATAGTGTATTCGAGCCCATTGGTACTCCTCGTACTTGTTTGTAAAGTTTATTATTAAATTTGATGCAATTGTTAAACAGTACACTTTTCAGGTAAAGTTCCCATTCTTCTTTGGCAACTATTGTAAGAATTTGCATAAAGAAATCAGGCAGAGTAAGGCTTTCAAATATTTCTTCTAATGGTAAAGTTGTGCAAAGACTTTCGAAATGGTAACACTGAACGTAATTTTCATATATGCTGCCATTTTTTTTCATTCTACTAGTTTGAAGCCAGTAAGATGATTTCCATGAGCTGAGAATGTTTTCTGTTAGTAAAATTTGAAGTTTATGAGAAATGAGAAAATTTATATTTTCGGCAGTTCTCATTTAAATATGACTAATTAGCCTGTGTCATGGGCTGCTTAGGACAAGGTTCGTATGCCCCTTAAGAGTCTTTAGTCCTTAAATGTTTTGAAATCGATTTTTGGTCCTTAAAAGTCCTTAACTTTGGCCCAAATCAGCAGAGTGTCCTTAATTTTAATCATCTAAAATTTCTGTCTGTTTTTACGACTGCCATTTTGAGTATGAATTAGCATTTTGGAGGAATATTTTTGGGTGATTTACTGACATATGGTTATCTTTTGAATGGGTTATAATTTGTTTCTATTTCTAATATAAATAACGGTATTCTCGAGTTTCTAAGCAAGAAGTGAAACATAAGCATTTCGAAATTCATTTTTTCTAATAAAGAGCTCTTAAACAACTTTTGACTTTTGGGGATGTGAATTCTTTTATTAAACGGTTCTAAATTTCGCGACTTGTCAACATTTTGGGGAATTTTAGATTAATTTCTATAAAAAATTTTAATTCCGAGATCTGAAAATTTTTCAACGATTGTTTTTAAAACATCATGACATTGATAAATTTCATTAAACTAATGGTAATATATTGAAATTATATTAAAAGAAACATTAAAATAAAACGTTTTATTTTTCACTGTCATTCTAGAAATTTCAAGAAATACGTGACAAAATGAAAAATGTCTCCATGGTATCAACAGTAATGGATGTATTTTACAGAAAGTTTGCGATGAATTTCTTACTTTTTGGAGAATGCCTGGAAGAACAATAAAAACATAAAATTTGAATGTTTTACTCCTGATACTAGAGTCATTTTCTTAACATATCTTCTCTTTATTTTCTCTACTTTTCACTAGACACAAGCATGGAAAATATCAAAAATGCTTCTAATCTTATCACTTGGGCAGGCATTATAGAGAGTAATTTTTTTTTATTAATAAAGAATTGAAAACTTACAATTTAATATTCATCTAATATGTCTTAATGCATCATATACAGAGCTGGCACTAGGCATTTTCCCACTTTATGCAGTCTCTATGGATTTTAAATTCTGCTGCCTAGTGCCTTTGTAAATTCTGTTTTCAATGCCTGTTCTAAATTCTAAAAGTTCTAAAATTCGAAAGATTTTGTTGTTTGGTATGTCACTAAATGCTAAAAATTCTGCCACACTAGCTCTGGAATTAACCTTTATCACATACATTTCATATTTCTCCTGAATTTAAATTTTATTATCTTTTACCACTATTCCACATTTTTAGTTTGAATTTGACTATTCTTGTTTAATTATGTCACCGTGAGCTGTAATTGATTTTTTAGCATCAGAACATGCCTTAATGTTCTAAGTTCTTTTTAAATAAGAGGCTTATTTAAACCTTTATCTGATATTGTAGTTACTTTCAGACATTGCGATAATTTGCTTCGTGTCTGTCGGGGGTTTAGACTTAACTTTTACCAGATCAAGTAAACCCTCGTAGATACATTATGGAGAGGTTGACAAGTTAAGAGATAAAGCACGCAGAAACTAGCGAGAGCAATGGTTTGCATATTAAGACAAATCTCTAATTGTTAGAAAAGGTGCTTAAAGAAAAGGAAATCTGTATAAACTATCCAAAATGTTTGGGAAGGCTTCAAATTAAAATGATGGATAAATATTTTGTTGAGTGTTGTTAAAATGTTTTGTATCTTTTAATGTGTAATTATCCTAATATCGTTTCAGACTCAATACCATAAATTACACATATTTTAAACTGTAAAATTTTATTAGATTTTGATATTAATAGGGCATTTTAACAAATATTGTTAAATAAAATTTTATAGTGGCCACGTAAATCCATAATGACTAAGGTTACCTAATTTAATTATTTATAGCTAACTGCTTACCCTTAAAAATTATCTCTACATTAGTGAGTTATTGCCTTTCATTAATAGTCACAAGATAAAACACAAAAATGTAAAAATTCAAGTAAAACTTCTTGTTTGCATCTAATGAGACTTAAAATGATACAAAACAACTTATCGCCTCTGGTGCTTTAATTTCTTATTGGAACCTTAAAGTATATTAACTGGGTTACAACCCCTGGAACTCTGCACAAAGCTATGATACTAACTGCATTAAATAGATCCTGAGTAACCTTTCAACACTTGCCAACCATACCTACATCAGGCCTTTCAGGTTTATTTTAATCATCAGGTCTCTCTTTAGACAAGTAGCAGCGGTGACAGCATTCAGTCATGCTAATTATGATCATACTTCTCGTTTTAACCTATGCCATTTGACATAAAATCTACCTGCTATTTACTAAACCTTTAGACTGACCAAGTATGTGACAAATTGAGACAAAAAATCAACATAAAGCCAATTAATGTAAATTTCACTTATTTCTTTCAAATATGTCCACTATTATAAGTATAAAATATTTAATGCTACTTGATAAATTGCATGAAGTTTATTTTATTTTCAAGCTTATTAATCATGTTAATTCATGTTTAGTAATAATGTATATTACTTAGGGATCTATTTTATTTTTAAGATGGTATTACAAAAGTAAAATTTGGGCATAGACTAATATTAATTGAATTTATTCAGTTCTCATTTGCTCAAAGGTCCTTAATTTTTTCATTAATGGTCCTTAAAAGTACTTAATTTTCATTGCAGAAATGTGTACAAACCCTGTTAGGAAATATTTAACCCCCAAGCGGTACGTCTTTTTGCATCTTCATAAATGCCTATATTAAAGCGGTATTTATTAGAAAATATAATTATGTATTTTAGTCTGTTTTAGGAACTTCTGTTCAATAAGATATTTACATCATTATGAAAGAAAGCAAAATATTTTAAATTGCTAATATATGCTAAATAGCAAATCTCAAGACCAGATTTCATGCCACTTGGTGTTACTTGTTTTAGAAAGTGCATCATCATGAATTGATGTGAACAGAATGTGTTATCTAAAAGAAAAAAATCTGATGTGTACAGCACATGACTTCCTTGTACAGAATATTAAATTATATACATTTTTTCTTGCATTTTATTTAAACTTATTGGATTGAATTAAATCTACTTCATCAACAGCGCATAAACCACAGTATAATATATGCATTCTTTAAAACTCACTCTATTTGTGTACCATAGCGACACTCTGGCACTAGATTCACTTAACAGTATTATATTTCGTTTATATTATAACACAGAATGCACAAAATTTATATCACTTAAAGAATAATTTAATCTTTGCCACATGTTTTATTCAAATACTGTAATAAAGCTAGAATGATGTATAAAAGAAATTAAGCCAACAAAACGAAAAACATTTTTTCACAGATGATTGAGTATTTCTCATTCAATTAATTCAGTTCTCACTTCGCGACAAGGCAAGAATACATAAAAACTCAAAATATCTATTAAAAATTATGAAGTAAATCTTAAACACTTATTTCCTCGAAAAAATTCCAGAAAGGATTAATTCGCAAATAATAAGAAGGCATTATCTTTGTTGTTGTGAAGCTAAGTTTCTCTAGATTGGCAACAACTCCACTAGTCTCCTGTTTCAAATGTAAACATCAATGGCTGCCATAAAAAAAAAGGCTTAGGGGCACTTAGACAACTTTAAAATTGTTGATAATTCTAAAATTATTGCATATAGATTTACTAACGGCATAAAAACCTTAACCGGAAGATAAAAAATACGTAATACAATCATTTTTAAAGCAAAAAATGTGCAATTTACAAACATATAAGGGT